CGGGACCTTCACAATCGACCCGTGAAGATCCGGGTAGAGATTAGGTCATCAGCCACCCAGACAGACAGACAGATTGTTTATTACAGTCTCACCTCTGTTTACATATTAAGATAAATGACATAGTTAAATAAACATCACAGAGCCACCTGTCTATGGGGTATGAGAGACTATTAAGATAAATGTGCGAATTGCATAAAACTATTTACTGAAAAGGTGCATAAAACATTACATAAACCAACACACATTCGCAAACAGGCAACAATAATTTACACACCATGATAAAAAATAGATTTGCGTTGTTGTAATAGAAGTTTGCAGGTCTTGGCATCTGGATTGGGCAGCATAAAAGACACTTTTTCAACATCAGAATAATAATTGAAAATATCACAGACTTGAGTACATCTTCTTAATAATGACGCTCTAATTTCATCATAAAGGGGGCAGTGTGACAAGAAATGACATTCATGCTCTACACACTCTTTACAATTAAAACACACTCTTTCTTCCAAAGGTTTTCGTATGTTCCTTTTTTCTACTCTTAAAGGCGCCACACCACAACGCAGTTGAGCCAGTGAATTTCTTTGCGACCAGGGGAAGGAACTCTGCACGTACTACTCAGCTCTATAGGTGAATCTAAAATGTTGATAGATCCTCAGTTTATTTCTAACGTTGCCACGTTGACTCTGCGGCTGCTGCAGTTTAATTTTCCAGTCCTGCACGTAGATTTGCATCAGTTTGACAGCTACTTCGGATACAATAAATTTGAAATTAAAACAGTTGTCCAATGGAATGAAGTGTTCTAATGAGAGGTTTGTCAGCTTGGCATGAACACGGAAATTCCAGTTACGTCTGTTTCTGTTTGCGTGACAGTCCGCCATTTGAAAATTCTGAAGGTGACGGAAGTTGGTTCTTTACCACACAGTTTCTTGTAGAACCTCGTCGCACCTTTCCATTGTCTACAGGCTATTGGTTTCCATCCCATGTCACCGCTGACTGCACTATTAGGAGCAATGTACCCTAATCCTCGAAAATAGCGCATAGCCCGATTATGAACGGTGGTTATGGCTGGGATATGATGAGTTCCCCATATTGGTGCACCGTGTTCTCATGTTAACCAGACCATGGAGTCGTTGAACTTCGTGAATCTTCCACATGGTAGACCTCCTAGCATTTTACTTTTCGATATCAGGAGACCAAGAGCTCTACTGGCCGACCTCGCCGTCGCCTTTCCCATCTTCGCGTAATCCAAGCGTTCTGGAAGCAAACGCCCTAAATCGTCAGCAACGTCGATATTGGTAGCGCCGACAGAAAGGGGTTCTGAAATGAACTACCTTTGATTTGGATGGGTTAACAATCATCTTGTATCTGGAACACCAGCTGTTTAGACAATCCAACAAGATGTTAAGATCCTTCTCATTTTCTGCTAGAAGAATAATATCATCAGCGTAGGTACCATCCATGTGAATTCCATCATTGTGCAGCTTCAATGATTCTATTAAGTCATCAATATACATATTAAATACAATTGGCGACAGCAAACAGCCCTGTCGACGTCCACTCCTGACATCAAACCATGGTGTACACATTCCATTAAGTCTAACACATGACTGGACGGATTTATACAAGGGTACTATGGCGTTGAATATCTTCCCCTTTATTCCCTGACTTTGGAGTTTTTCCCACAGCTGATCTCTATCAATACAATCTTACGCTTTCTTGAAGTCAATATAGGCTGTGAATGTTTGTTTTCTCATGCCTATCCTGGTTTCAATGACAGAAGTAACACTTGAGGTGTGGTCAAGGGTTGATCTCTTCTTTCGATATCCGTTTTGTCCCTTACACAAAAGACGGTTGCTCTCTACATGCTCAGTCAAGTGTAATGTTTAATACAGAACAGAACAGTTTATCGGACGAACTTGCAAGTGTTATTCCCCTGTTGCTCAAAGGGTCACGTGGGTTCTCCTTATTTGATTTTAGAATTGGATTTACGATGCCTTTCGACCAATCACCTGGTATGATTCCACGTTTAAAACACATATTAAACAGTCCGTGCAAAAAGAAAAGACAGTTATCATTCTTTAATACCTCAACTGGTGTACCCTGATTACCAGGTGCTTCACCATTCTTAGCTTGTATTAGTAAGTGAGTGAGTGAGTTTAACGCCGCTTTTAACACTACTCCAGTTATATCGCGGCGTCTTAGCTTGTATTAACACACATCGTACCTTCTCAATAGATAAATGTTCACTTGAGGGAGAGTCCCTTATCGCCTGACTGTCACTATGCACTGTCCTACTTTCTCCAGCGTTGCTGTTCTGCAGAGTTGAATATGCATTTGCCCACGTTTCCATGACAACACCTCTGTCCCTAGAGATAGTTCCATCCTCTTGAAGTTCTTCCATGGGAATCTCTTTTATCCTCTCAACCAACATCTATACTTTTTCCAGAAATCTTTACTTCCGGATTCACATGTGGCTTCTAAATCTACTAGGAGTTTAGCCTTGTCCTGTCGTTTTGCGAACTTGACGTCTTTGTCAAAAGCACAGCACGATGATGAACGTAGACTGATCGTAGACGTACACGTAGAACACCAGGTTGCCTGCATCACTTGCATTCCGCAACACACATATCATTCCACAAAGCTGTCATTTCACCATGGTTTTGTAGTTTTTCGTGTGTTTGTTTTGTGATTTCTGGATGAGTTGTTGACGATTCGCCTTGTTGGTAACGTTGAGTGCATCTCTGTTGTCACTGCATCTTTAAAACACATAAAAGCACTATCGATATCACAATGTCCCTGAGAAGATGTTTCTAGTTTTAAAATGACATCGTTGTGAGCATCACAACATTGAGACGTACTTATGAAATTACCTGGTTTCATCTTTGTATTGCATCTAACATCGTAATGGCCTTGAAGGTGTGGCTGTTCCACATTCGTATTGCTGATATAAGAGTCAAATGTTGTTGACCAGGTAAGTATTGAGTGGTCAAGCTTACTGACTGCTACTGCTTCTTGGACACCGACCATCCAAGCGTTTTCTACAAAGGAGTTAGGACGTAAAACTTGAAATTCTGAAATAATTGCATTTAACGCTTCACAACAACATAAACAATAATCATCAGCCCGTAAGAGGCGACTAACGGGATCGGGTTGTCAGGCTCGCTGACTTGGTTGATGGATGTCATCGTATCCCAATTGCCTAGATCTATGCACGTGATGGCAATCACTGGATTGTCTGGTCCAGACTCAATTATTTGCAGACCTCCGTCATACAGCTGTAATATTGTTGAGTGCGGCGTTAAACAACAAACAAACAAACCTTCACCATGTCGAGTCCAGTGACCCGAGAAGCTCGTGGTATTTCATCAGTTGATGGACACATCCCGGCTTCCACCCAACCCCACATTTGCAAGGTGCTATTCTTATAAAATATTAAGACTCATAGTTTTAATTAAAATAATTTCTGGTCTTGCAGCTGTAACTTAAAAAGTCAGTATACTATGTGTGAGTTATTCATGTTAAACTACGGCATGGCATCTCAGTGGGCTAGCACTATAAATCGGCCTTAGTCAGGACTAGTACATACAGCCATACACACAGATGCATGCACGTTGCTACATAAGGGCAATAATCTTGAATGCGACGTTAAACCCAATATCACCCCCCCCCCCCCCCAAACCCACACACCGAATAGCAAATGGTCAGTCTCTAACACCGCTTTTAAAAGTATTTCAGTTATATCAGCTTGATGTGAGAGTGAGTGAGTATAGTTTTACGCCGCGTTTAGCAATATTCAAGCAATATCAGAAATGGGCTTTACACATTGTAATTGTAAACGGACCCTTGGATTGACGAGCGAGCGCCCTAATCACTAGGCTATCCCTCCGCCCCTCTTGGGAACTTCTGCAGGTTTACCACTTTGGAGAAAAGCAAGACTATGAGTACGGTGCTGACATACTAGAAACGTACTTAGGGCTAACCGGGATTCGAACCCACGAATATGTTTCTTGCAAGACTAAGGCACGCAATTCTGTGCAGTGAATTACGGCGCCTCGGACGATCGCGACTGAGCCACCCGTGCCCCCTTTTACGTTCGGCGTGGTGGATTTAACGCTGTTTGTTCACTGGTGACTCACTGTACTTAAAACATGTATCGCCGTTCATTGCCAGTCAAAATAATAGTGATGTATTACAACCTCAAATCAAAGAGTTACTCAGCAGGTGTGAACGAGTAGCCTCACAATCAGCTTGAAATCTGAAAATGCTCCCATAATCAACAAACCAAGGCTGTCGCAGTCAACCTGTTGCCATGACGTCCATGGTTACATTGTGTCATGTGCCTCGGGGGCTACGAAGGGTCAGTAGGGCTACTCTGAGGGTCACACGCCATAATTCCACTTGTCCCTCCCCCTGTGGTATGTCATTACAGTCACCACAACAAGCCTTAAATCGATGAAACCATATCAAAAATGATAAAGCTCACACCTTGACGCGGCTTGAAGCGATGCCTTACTAAGCGGTGCTCACGTCGACAGTGGGGGCTTATAAGAAGCTAATGAGCTTTTATTAAAGTTATATACCGCCGCAATGACACAAGGTTATATCTTTAAAGAAATTTAAATCGTAAACCAAATAACTCGAACGTGAGTTCTGATTTCCCACGCTCTCCCCGTGCCCCGCTCGTCGAGGTGTTTTGGTGTGTCGGGTATCTGCGTTCCTGGCCACATATATCCCCCAGGTAGAGGGTAGGGGGGACAAGGTGACGTCTACCTGCCCGCGAGGTGGGGGCGGGGTTTTCCCACACTCCTTCTCAAGCCTGGTCGCGTGCCTTCATTACCATATCAACAATTTGCCTGGCCGACGGGCGTGTTCAGGCATGCGCCAAGGCGTGGTGCTGCTCGCGACGTTATTTCAGCCAATGGTTGCACATAACGCCACGAGTTGGGCGGAGCGAATTTGAAACGTGATTGACACGCGAGTTGAGACGGTGTAACGTTCCCGTGTGTCTGTGCCTGTCACACGAAGCGCACGGTGTAGGTATTTTATCGATATACGCGCGTGCTAGGCAACATTCCGCCACAGAAGGGACACGATCTGAACTCGTGGTTCACAACACAGCCATGCGATCTGAGAAGTCAACGTCGGCGAGGGACAATCGCAGGGTATATATAATAACATCTTTCACTGTCAGATTGCTGATATTTATATATATAAATATGTATGTGTAATAACAGAATATTGGTGGAAGAATATATTCTTCTTTTCTTCTTTTCAGACCAACAAACCGATGATGGAAAAACGAAGACGGGCGAGAATTAACGCCAGTTTGTCGGAGTTGAAGTCTTTACTGTTAGATGCCGTCAACAAAGAGGTAAATATTTTGAACGTTTTTTATTACCGGGATATAACTTTAAAATATTGTTGAATAAAACACTGTCTGTCACATCTGTCGCGGCACGGGCTGAGCAGGTCGTAAAGCGTAGTTGATGAGGTTACAATTGTAGCCCAAAATGGGCAGTACTTGAGGGATACATCGTTGTTTTGTGTCGTCACTGATGTCGTGGGTCAAGCAATGGAACGATGCAGGCTGTTGTATGACTAATCACTGTCATCGACAACAGGTCACTCACTCACTCACTCACTCACGCACTCTCACTCAACCAATGTGATATCATGAAGCTTTGTGGGAATAGCGGTTACCCCTGAAGTTGTTCGTCAGAATCAGCATGTGTTGTCCTTAGCATACAGTAGACATCAATACAGAGCTTGTACAAGAGAGTGCTACACAAATGCTCACAAGTACTAACCTCGTGGTTTGCGAAACATTTACAAACTGTTTGTGATGCCACACTCGTACGGTACGATAATTCCACGAACATATTCCGCTTTTATTCTACAATAGTACCCTTTTTCCGCAAACGGAGGGCATTAAATCCTCAAAGGCAGCGCGTTAGTTGCACGATTGGTGTTATTTTCGCATGAGTACCGTGTTACTTCCGCAAACATACCGCGGTACCTCTGCAGAACGCTTTGTGGAATTACCGCGGAACGTTTCCGGAACTGCACCATGATAAAGAGGTGAGTAATTGTGAGCAGTAGTGTAGTGTCGGTTCGCAGTAGTGTAGTGTCGGTTCGCAGTAGTGTAGTGTCGGTTCGCAGTAGAGTAGTGTCGGTTCGCAGTAGTGTAGTGTCGGTTCGCAGTAGTGTAGTGTCGGTTCGCAGTAGTGTAGTGTAGTGTCGGTTCGCAGTAGTGTAGTGTAGTGTCGGTTCGCAGTAGAGTAGTGTCGGTTCGCAGTAGTGTAGTGTCGGTTCGCAGTAGTGTAGTGTCGGTTCGCAGTAGTGTAGTGTCGGTTCGCAGTAGAGTAGTGTCGGTTCTTAAAAGAACACGGTGAAAAGGTAACAACACCTCGCGTCCAGGTCGATACATACAACCCAACTTCAGATAGGGACACTGCGTCTGTTTATGTTATTTAAATATACAGGAAGGAAATTACACGTTTGACATATCCCCGAATAACATGAATAACCATTTCAAGGGTTGTGTTGTGTTGTTTTCTCATACGTTTCCATCATGTAACTCGGTAATGTTTAATGCGTTCCTGCTTGTCGTTCACGGACTGTCAAAAGATATGGATGTCTTTGAACTAGGCTATTACAAATCCAGCTAATGGAGATATACCGAGATCACAGGTCAGGCTCGCCGTTTGAACGCGAGGCAACGGGAAAGCTTTCGTTTCGTGTTAAAGCCTTTGCACTCTTTATTTGACACGAGTAGTGCGCTGTGAATTATTGCGAAACAAGTAAACGTTATTGTTGTATTTCATAAATTGGCATTTTTTGCCATTATTGACACATTTGGGTATTTTGAGTGAGTGAGTGAGTATGGTTTTACGCCGCTTTTGGCAATATTCCAGCAATATCACGACGGGGGACACCAGAAATGGGCTTCACACATTGTACCCATGTCGGGAATCGAACCCGGGTCTTCGGCGTGACGATCGAACGTTTTAACCACTAGGCTACCCGACCGCCCCTTTTGGGTATTTTGAAGGGCGGTGGGGTAGCTCGTCGCACCGAAATGCCGGGTTCCGTTCTCGACACGGGACAATGTGTGAAGCCCGATTGTAGTGTCCCTTTTGTGATGTTGCTGGAATATTGCGTAAAGTGTCTCATACCTCACTCACTCACTCGTTATTTGGAGAACCTACATAGACATAGTCATTAATAACAGGTTGGATGAATATTGGTTGATGGATAACAGACTCAATTCCTCATAGGTCATTGGCTCGAATCTGGAGACGACCCACTCTTTGAATAACAGTAGAATCGGTTAATCCTATAATCATCATCCTCAGCATATAAACGTGAAAGATTTTCAGTTTTGAGAAGACACTAACGTACTCGAAGGAACGCAACGAAATTTCGTCACAAAGTTTCCTCGTTGATTTACATTTGTATGACTGAACGTATGACGGCACAGTGTAGATGATAAGGGTGAATACAATTTGGCATGAGAACCATGGTGGGCGACAAACAACCACGACATGGTTGAAATCACACTGCAGGAACAGCCAAATATTACCCCACAGAGAATGTAACATATGGACAACTTTGAACCTCTAAAAATGACAGTGGGGATCACATTAATTCATTTAACCGCGTTACTAATTACAAGTCGAGGTATTTGGCTTCCCAAGGCCAGACCCTGTGTCGGTAGATAATTCCAAAAAGAAAATTCCAATGTCAACTATTGTTAATTTTGATTTCCTCAAAATGTTCATAAGGTGGGGGAAAAGGCTTTTACTCAAAGTATTTAAAACAATTTATTTATATTAGTCACCGTAATGGAGATGTTTTAGCATTTTTTTCCTTTATTTCTGAAAGTAAACCCTCTGCTTTTCATTTCATTCTCTCTTTTGTTTTCACATTCAACGTGTGTGATTCGGATGATAGTAAGTCACAGTTACAGATTTTGTAATGCAGTTAGTGTTCAAGTGATGTGCAGAGTTGCGATCCTTAGATGTGCTGTTCGTGGGTGCGTGTGAGTTGTCACGATCACAGGTCACTGTACCTAACAGTGTATAATCAAAAATGTAACTCAATCTGTGGTTTAACAGAGTGGGCGTCACAACAAGATGGAAAAGGCGGACATTCTTGAGATGACAGTGAAACACATGAGAGAGGTTCAACACTCCAACACACCACACTCGTTAACAGGTGAGACATTGAAACGCCCCATCGCACTAGCATACCTGTCCTGAAGCCACCTGCCAGAGGCCCGACCCTACATGCTTCACATTGTAATGTAAATAACAATATCTTATATAGCATTAGAGTTACAGGTGAGTGACCGAAGTCTCCCCTTACCTGTAGCATATAGCCTTGATTGACAGGTGACATTGTACACCCGACACTGTACCCGCCTTCGTCTATGCAGTAACCTGCACTTGTCACTATCAGCCAGCTACATTCTCTTGCCCTGGATGACTTGGGTTGAGTCTCATGGCGTAGGCGTTCACCACTTTGTTGAAACCCAAGGGTATGAAACCCATTGGCACGGGACTGAAACCCATGGACACGGGTATGAAACCCATCTGCACGGGTATGAAACCCATTGGTATGGGTATGAAACCCATTGGCACGAGAATGAAACCCATGGACACGGGTATGAAACCCATTGGCACGGGACTGAAACCCATGGACACAGGTATGAAACCCATTGGTATGGGTATAAAATACATGGGAATGAAGCCACGGAGAGCGAGTATGTGTGTGTGTGTGTGTGTGGGGGGGGGGGGGGGGGGGGGGCGTTGGAAGGGGTGTTGGTGAAGATGTTTATTACATACATAACTCCGGGATAATCTTGGTTATGTATATACAAGGCAGCGAACTTAGCAGTGAAACTGTCGTATTTCATATTTTATCGTAGACGTTTTACCGTAAGCGCTGTATCCGCTTTATGAAACAGGGTCCTTTTTGAGTAACGAATTTTTCTAAATTTAATTTTTTCAATTATTTCAGATTTAGCATCAGAAGATCTTCCCAGCAACAGTTCAACCAAACACCGCCGCGGTTACAATGAATGTAAACAGGAGGTCAGCAAATACCTCGATACTGTCGCCGGATGTGACGTAGAACTCAAAGCACGTGTTTTGGACCACCTGGCATCTAAGACAATGACGTCGCCTCCAAATGAACCAATGCCTTTTGTCACGGGAGGCAGGGAGATCGCGTCGCCGGTAATATCCCATGACCAGAAACTGCCTTCCAATACAGAGTTACCGAAGAATGCCGTTGCCATAGATATCAACAACAATGTTTCGAGCGTGACGTCATTAGCTCCGACGGAAACTACGAAAGTATTTAGTGCGATGCAAGTCATTCCGACGAAACTCTCTACTGGAGAAGTAGCTTTTGTTGTGCCTACGAACATCGTCAACAATGGTCAGGTGTCGAACTATGCTGTACCGGTCAGTCTTCAGAATACGCCATCTTTGTCTTTCACCAATCAGGTTTTGTCAGGGTCGCCCGTGACGTCAGTAGCTGCAACTCAAATTCTAACTCTTCCGCAATCCTCAACAGTGTATCCGATGACACAAGTCTCGGGGAACATCGCCATCATCCCGTGTTCGGGCATCACTGAGACATGTTTGCTTCCACCAGCCACAGAACATTCCAAACTGCCCCTGCAGCACGTGCAGCATGCGCCTCACGCGTCGCACGCGCAAGCTCATGCACCAAACCTGAATGACAATCGTGGTAGCCATTTTGAAAGCAGAGATCATTTGGAAGGGAGAAAAGGATCTGTCTGGAGGCCTTGGTCGCAGATTTAAGACGTTTCTGTTCAGAGAATGTCGGACGTTTTCCTGTCTTCGATGTGATCTTCATGGGTTATGTTCCTTACCTCTGCCGGATACGCTTATTTGGGGTTCTAAACTCCGATTCGCTCAGATAATGATCCTGAATTTGTCAGCACTTGCTTCAGTTAATGTGCTGGGATAAACAACTAGATCTGAAGTACAGCGATATCTTGAAAGACTGTGATATAGCGAACCTGTTGATTCATAAAAAAACATTATGTATTTTATTCATATTTTTGCATACTTAATCGGTTACAAATATACCATAGTGCTATGCATTTTAGAAGTGTGTTGTTGTTTTTCCTGAACTATTCGCTCATAATTTGCCAGTGGTCCCCTCGGAATCCAAGTTTCCTCCTGATACTGAAGCTTGGTGAGCCAGCACAATGCTCGTGCTAGTTGATTTCACCAAAGTGGTAAATGTCTACGACCTGCCTAAATTTAGGTCTTTGTTCACACATTCAGCTGGAACTTGGGCGGTCGGGTAGCCCAGTGCTTAAAGCGTTCGCTCGTCACGCCAAAGACCCGGGTTCGATTCCCGATATGGGTACAATGTGTGAAGCCCATTTCTGGTGTCCCCCGCCGTGATGTTGCTGGAATATTGCTAAAAGCGGCGTAAAACCATACTCACTCACTCACTCAGCTGGAACTAGCAAAAACACTACTCCTCGTTTGCTCTTCAGCCAGGGTTCCGGGATAGCCAATCCTTTACTGAAGGTACTCTGTGGGTATGTTTTTGACATAACATAGCAAGATCGCTTTTATTTCTCTGAAGTGGTAAACATTTGCGACCTGCGTTTTTCTTCCACATTTCTGTCAAAATTTTAACTGAAATCTGCTGTTCACAGCGGCGATAAAAAAAACATTGTCATGAAATCCAGGGTACGCTTTGACCAAAATAAGAGTTATGTCACGGCGAGTCCACGCCGATAATACTCAGTACACCTCCTTGTGTCGAACTTGGATATGTCGAATTCCCTTCCCTGCTGGGTGTTATATCAAGTATTCAAATAAAGCATAACATTCCCCGGGCGGTCGGGTAGCCTAGTGGTTAAAGCGTGCTGCCGTCACGCCGAAGACCCGGGTTCGATTCCCGACATGGGTTCAATGTATGAAGCCCATTTCTGTTGTCCCCCGCCGTGATATTGCTGGAATATTGCTAAAACGGCGTAAAACCACACTCACCCACTCATAACATTCCCCTGATGTCTCAAACTCCGGATAACTCGAACTCTTCTCAGGTCCACACAACGAGGATTCGACTGCTGCCCAATACGTAACAGTATTATGGGATTTAAACCTACGACCCCTGAAAATTTATTGCAGTAAGTTATCATTTGGTTACCCTTGCCCCAAGGTACTTACACCGGACTCAGCACATATATCTTACTTAAACGTCCCCCCCCCCCCCTTCCTCCCCCTCCAAAGCGATTGTCGTTGGAGGCGACTAAACAGATCGGGTGGTCAGGCTCAGTAATGTTAGTTGATTGATAGCGTGTCATGGTTCCCTAAATAGTTGGGATAATAATATCAAGGACTGGATTGTCCGGTCCAGATTTAATCATATATTTACAGTTTGAATATTACCGAGTGGGGCGTATAATAACGAAATGACATGATCAGGTAACGTCGCTGCCGGAGTTGTCAAAAGTCTTGTGGCTACTTTGAATAACCCCTCTTATTGAGGACCATTAAACCATAATGTCAATTCATGTGAAGTAAATTATACCCGTAGTTGTAACCTGATTATAGACATATATACCATATAGAAATGACAATAGCAGTGCCTTCCAGCACTGCTGCCCTTTTACGTCAATTGCCATAGTGAACGATTTCACAATACATAAAGTATATTGTCATAGTAATGGACCCAAATGGCATGAAAAAAATCGGCCAATAAAAACCCATCATAAGGAATGTTTACTCTGCACTACACAATACAGCAATTGAACATCCGATGAGATTCGTGTACTTGTTTTGCATTGAACCAGTGGAAAATGCTTGCTGCGATGGCCTCCGGGCTAAATAATTCAAAACGTACATTTCAAGTCTCCAGATCGCATGATATGCTTCACCACATACGGACGGTTTGAGTGAGTCAGACTTGCAATAACTTCTACCTGACCCCGGAATTTATAGCACAATGTTCAGTCAAGATGTGACCCATCTCATGATGGATTTGTACACCGTCTGTACATGCATGGACGATGAGAATAGTCTTCATCGCCCTTCAGATCGTGCTAGTCACTGAGGAATGAATACATCAACACGAATACCTAACATGTCGTGTCTAGTCTGTTTATTTGCTGTTGCAAACGCAGAAGTAGGATTATTTTGTGAAGTTTAATATTGCATCTGTACAAAGCACATTGCAGAGCCTAAACGTGAATGTGGGCGCTTCGTGTTTATGTTCAATGGGGACGGTTGCGAAGCTAACTGGTGAAAGCGTTCGCTCGTCACAAGGAAGACCCTGGTTCAATTCCACACATGGGTACAATGTGTGAAGCCCATTTCTGATGTCCCCCCGCCGTAATATTGACAAAATGCGGCATACAACTATACTCATCCATTTAAGTATCAATGGTGAGCATTGGAACGGTAAATAGGCAACCAGCTGCTCGTAGACCAGTCAGCCATGACATCCACCCAAGACTGTTTCCAACATTAATTTTAAATAATGTAATATGTTTCCTCGTTCCTGGTGTGTTCTGAATGTATTTTATACCCTGACAACAGTCTCTAATTAATTTTAACCTTTCAGTAAAAATATTTCTTATTCGCCACGATACTGTTTCAAGGTTTGCCAGCATCGTAGTGGTAAAAGTCTTTGACTGTATGAAGCATCCCTCCGTGCTTCCCCCACATCAAGTTGACACGCCGTGATGTGGGAAATCATTGGTGCAAAGGCGTGCAACCAACTCACTCACTCAACAAGTGATGCCGGACGTAGACGGGTATCACTTACCGGTGAAATCCGCGAGAACGGAGATGGTGTTGGCAAGACAAGGATCATTATCGGAGCGGATGCCGGGTATAACAAAAAGTTTCCTCTCAGTTTATTGCACCTTCAACTCACCGTTTATTATATGAAATATGTATTTTCATAAAAAAATTAATAATTACAATTTTCGTCTTGTTATGACACCCGTGTCCGCGATGGGTATGAGGACGTCCTGCACCTGGTGTGGTCGGGGTCTTTATTTCCTGGTTCGTTCCCTCTCATGTCCCCAGTTAATATAATGAACTACATTATATGTAGGAAGCGGTTGGCAATATACCTGAGATATAAATATCTTCAAAAGAGCTGCTAGCTCGCAAATGTCGAAAATTGTACCTCTGACATAACAAAAGGGGACACCATGGGAGCCTGGTCACTGTGACTGAGTGAGTGAGTGAGTGAGTGAGTGAGTGAGTGGCCTGTAAATAGTCCGAATCAGTTGCTACCCATATTTTGTTTCATATTTAGAAATATTGTTTAAAGTTACCTCTTTATATATGGGCATATTCGCATCACATAATTTGGACAGCGTCTGGTCAGTATTATAGTAGTTAACAATCATACAACCAAAGCATTATAATACCAGTTAACAGCACAACACAATCAACAACACAACAAATAATTATATAGAATCTGATATATTTATGCAAAAGTTTATGAACATCCTTATTGCCCTGTGAAGATCCGGGTTAGAATCGGCGACCTGGTTTATGAATGTCATCGTGTCGCAATTTTTTTTATCGATGCTCATGAATTTATCACTGGATTGTATGGTCCAGGTTGCTGAACGCGACGTCAAACAACAAACAAACAAACAAACACAAAAGAACACGTTACCTCGATAGGGATTACAGGAGGCACGAGGTGTCCAGCAACCTATGCTGATCTTACGAGGCGACTAAATGGATCTGGTGGTCAGTCTCGGTCACTTCTCAGCGTACCGTTGCTCATGATATCAATTCACTGATTTGTGTGGTCCAGAGTCGATATATTTACAACCCGCGTTCATATAGATGGAATATTTCCTTGGATAGTTAATGAAGACGGTAAAGACCTCATAACATACACGAGATGTTAGGCAGTACATGACATGAGAGATTTCATCTGAAGATCCTTTTACAACAGGACTTGGACAAGAAAGGCTTGACGGATGTCTCGGTGTTTCTTCTCGGTGTTTCTTCTCGCTGTTTCTCCTCGGTGTTTCTCCTCGCTGTTTCTTCTCGCTGTTTCTTCTCGCTGTTTCCTGTCGGTGTTAATGTGTCTGAGTGGGGTATTCATGTTAAACTGCGGCATGGTATATCAGTGAGCTAGCACTATAAATCGGCATCAGTCCGGACTAGTACAAGCAGTCACACAAACACACACACGTGCATGCACGTCGCTATATAAGTGCAATAATCTTGGAATCGACGTTAAACCCCATTTCACCCTCATCCTTACTTCAAGTATGAAATACTGTGATCTTTTTGCATGATTTCACCGTAAACCGCGTTACGCCTGATCCCTCCCGATGCAGTTCCTATAACATGGCACCCGTTTTTGAAGACATGTTACTCCTGTGCTACATAGAATTTCGGTAAACTCTTAGAAATGAAGACAAATGAAATGAAATGAAATGGAACAATTTGACGGTTCTCGGTTGTTGTCAGGTGATGTTGTGTCACGTGATAGTCACGTGCACGAAACTAGTTCCAATATGGATTCCTGCCAGTGCGGGCCGAGGTTGAAGTGGACCGAGACAAGCAGAATGCCAAAACCACATGCACATATTTCAACGCCCCTTTACGAACCTGTATGTTACATGCAAACCTTAATAATTGGCCGTCTGACCACTGGTCAGTGTCTGCTGACTGTACAATGGCCAGGCGGGCCAGCCAATTACCCCCACTGTATATCGGGCGTTGAATGAGATACCTCCACAAAGACCGCTGACCACACTAGAGGGGATCTCATCACAACCCTGGTTATAGATCGGCGGGGAACAGACAACATGCGGAGTTAAAAGCAGGTTCACAATGGTTGCGGATTTGGGGACAATATTCTGGAAATTTATCAATCCAACACGGAATGGACGCTAGGAAGGACAATAGGGTGTAAGCATAGCAAGGGCGGAGATAAGTATGTGTTAAATTGGATGGGGAATCATGTTGCGTCTTGAGAAACTGACCTTTAACCTCAGGTCCAGGGCAGGTGCGTGGCATGCGTCCGGTATTTCTTGGACCGACTTTGGTCCGCGAGTGTTTGAAGCCTTTTTAATGTTACTTTGGGTTTGGTTTGATTGTTTG